AATCAATCAATCAATCAAATCCTTTTTTTGTTTATTTGTTTTGAAATTTTGCATCTGCTTTTTATTTTTGAACACCTCATTTCCCTTCAAAAAAACAGATTCATTATAAAAAAAAACACAGGTCGACTCGGGGACCATTTATCTCATGATAAAAAATGGCAAAAAAAAATTCTTGCTTTTCTTTATATATTTATTTTTTAATTTTGTTTAAATCGATTTTAGTTTCGAATTCCCAAAAAAAAATATAGGGGTGTAGTTTCGAAGCCCTACACCCCCATATATATCGTCACAAACAGAACTGCCCGGTAAAACCGTAGGCAGAGAGAGAGAAGAGGACAACAAACAAGGGGCTGTGACAAACTGTTTCGTCGGAGTTTCACCGACTCATCAGGAGGCTGAACCCTATATATATTTTTTACGTATTTTTAGGGGTGAAAAAAAAAATTAAAAAACCAGGCCGCAGACTGGGCCTCATAGGCCGCGGCCGCGGCCGAGAATCTCGGCCACAGTGGCCGAAATGCCCGTGGCCTAGGCCGCGGGTGTGACATAGCCGCGATACCGGCCAGGGTTCAGCCTATGGGCCAGTCACTCCCCCTCCCCTCCGGTCCCCTTCCCCTAGGAACATCAGCAGTCTCTGCTCAATGCCACTCGGGGGGACCAACGGCACATCTCTAAGGTGGCGGGCGCCAAACTTGCCCAGGAAGGTACACGAGGGCATGGGAATCGAACCCAAGACCTCCTGAATGCCACTTGCGTGCCTTACTAACTGAGCTATGGTAGGCCGGTGGATTGCCAACCAGAAGTATGTAGGCCTCTGAGCGGCATCCAGGGCCGGAATTCTTTTCTCTTGCTTGTCGTTTCTTTTTTCCCTTTATTTTCGTGTCCGTTTGAATGGGGTTCAGGCGTTTCGGCGGGTTTGAATGGGGTTCAGGCGTTTTGGCGGGCTGGAAGTGGAAGCGGGCTTACATTTCGAAGTCCTGCGTCTGTGATTTCGGCCGGCCGCCCCTCCCAATACGACATTCGAATGTATGCACACCCGGGACTGCCGCCATCGCCCGAGGGAGGAAGAAGCAGGGCAACGTGGCCGGCACAGCAGGCAACGTGGCCGGCACAGCAGGCAACGAGCAGACGTGGACCACGTGCAGCATGGCTGACAGCGGCCGCAGCAAGGGCGCAGCGCGGAGCAGCGCAAGCAGGTCTCTCTCTCTCTCTCTCTCTCTCTCTCTCTCTCTCTCTCTCTCTCTCTCTCTCGTCGTTTCGTCGTCATGGTCTTCCTCCTACACCGTCGTCCTCTATCCTACGGCTTCGTCTTCCTCCCGCTCCTCCTCCTCCTCCTCCACGTCTTCCTCCTCCTCCTCCTCCTCCTCCTTGACGTCTTGTTCCTCCTCCCGCTCCTCCTCCATGTCTTCATCGTCCTTGTCCTCCTCGTCTTCGTCCTCCTCCTCCTCGTCGTCGTCCTCCTCCCCCTCCTCCCCCTCCTCCCCCTCGTCCACCTCGTCGTCTTCGTCGTCCTCCACGTCTTCGTCCTCCTCCTCCTCCTCCTCCTCCTCCTCCTCCTCCTCCTCGCCTTTGTCCTCGTCATCTACGTGCCATAACCTCCCGCCCCCCGGTTCTGCCCGTTCCAAGTGGGGCCTTTTTCCCCCCCGCTAGATCTTGGTGGTCGTGCTCCTCGTGCTCCCCGTCATTATCATTAGCTTCGTCTTCGTCCTCTTCCTCCTCCTCTTCGTCCTACTCCACGTCTTCGTCCTTCTCCCCCTCCTTATCCTCCTCTTTCTCCTCCTCACCATGGTCCTCGTCATATACTTGCTATAAGCTACCGCCCCCCGCTTCCGCCCGTGCCACATGGCGCCTGTTTGTTCCCCCCACGCCCCCGGATCTTGGTCGTCGTGCTCCTCGTGCTCCCCGTCATTATCATTAGCTTCGTCTTCATCCTCCTCCTCCTCGTCTTCAGCCTCCTCGACTTCTCCTTCCTCCTCCCGCTGCCCCCCCACGTCTTCGTCTTTCTCCCCCTCTCCCTCCTCCGCCTCCTCCCCCTCCTCCCCTCCTCCACCTATTTATCCTCCTCCTCCCGCTCGTCCTCCTCCTCCTCCTCCTCCACGTCTTGGTCCTCGCCATGTACTTGCTCTAACTTTCCGCCCCCCGTCCTGTCCGTGCCACGTGCCGCCTTATTTCGTTTCCCYCCCYCCCCCCCCCCCCCCCCSGCGCGCGCCTCGAAACTTACCCCTCTTCTCCCCGTCATTATCATTACCTCCGTCGTCGACGTCTTCATCCCATTCCACCTCCTCCTCCTCCTCCTCCTCCTCCTCCTCCTCCTCTTGGTCCTCGTCATCCACTTTCTCTACGAACAGCCCACCAAACTCCCCCCCGCTTTTCTTTTTTTCGCTCTTCTTTGTCTATCTTCGTCGTCATCCCCCTTGGTCCATCGTCCTCGTCCTCCCTCCTCCTCATCTGACCTCCACTCCTACTTTTCCACCTCGTTGTCCTGGACTTACTACTACCACTTGTACTCCTCCACGTCCTTTCTCGCCCACCCTTGCTACTTTCTTGCCGCCCCTTGCTAGTTTATTTATAACTTAACGATTCGTTTTGAGCTTTTGAAGTTTGAACTGGCAGTTTGCAGTTGTGGTGCTTGTGCTGTTGGTTGATCACAGTTTGTCTTTTATGATCTACAATGTCGGTTGAGTACCCATAGTGCTTGTTCAATGCTTCAATCAGTCAATCAATCAATCAATCAATCAATCAATCAATCTCAATCAATCAATCAATCAATCAATCAATCAGTCGGTCCTTGTGTTCACACAATGATCGGCTGATTGATTGATTGATTGATTGATTGATTGATGATTGATAGATCGATAGATGTATTGATTGATTGATTGATTGGTGCTGTTGATGTCAGCAACGGCTCTCTTACATTGCACTTCGACCCCATGGGGGATGGGGAAATTTCGCCAAATTTTTTATTCGAAGTAACTGTTCGTTATGATTGGACTGCATGTCACGATTCGAACTTCTGCTGTGGATAAGGTTGACCCCATGGGGGGTAGGGAAATTCTGTCAATTTTTTGATTGATTGATTGATTGATTGATTGATTGATTGCTTAATTGATTGATTGATTCAGCTTGATTGATTGACTGAGGGAGATAGAGAGAGACAGAAGGAGAGGGAGAGAGAGACAGACACAAACTCGGACAACATTCGATCTGATCTCCCGTGGCCCTTTGCTGTTTGGTCGGGTGGTCTTCATCGTCTGCAGGATGCCTAAAGGAGGTTCAGATGCCATTAAGCGGTCTTCATTGTCTGCAGGATTCCTAAAGAAGACGCAGACTCAGACAACTTTTTTTTTTTTTTAATAACCCGGACACATATGCATATCCGGACATGGGGTCCGTACATGCATTTCCGGACATGTCAGGAGTAACCGGGGAAACCGGACGTTCAGATCAAACCGGGAATTCCGTAGTCCGGTGTCCCGACTTGTCTGGTTTGGTTGTCCGCCGCTGCCATGGTTTAAACCCCACCAGTACCCCCAGTTTAAACCCCACCAGTACCCCCACCAGTACCGCAAGGAAGTTGCGGCGTGTATACTGGCCAGCCGCAGCCGCACTCGGATGAACGGGCGGGCCTGAATTGAGCGACCGAATTCAACTGAGTAAAAACGATTCTGCTTTTTTCTTTATGGGAACAAAGCTCCAATCTATTCGTGGGGAGCAACACGTGCTGGACCCAGCGTCCCATATAGAAAATTACATAGGATTTTGAGAAAAATTGAGAATTTGCAGTACCGGGGCCACTACCCGGCTTTGGCTAAGAGCTAGATTAAGAGATACAAACAAGGTACCGAAAATAGGCAAAAATTCAGGAACAGACTCAGACCCCCCTCCATCCTCGTTACCTCACTCCGGCAAGTCTTACTGCAGCAGAGCCACCATCTCTGCTGCTGCTGTACCCTATTACCATCCTACCAGCTAGCCCCCTCACTAGTAGGACGCTTGATCTCCAACCTTCTTCTCCCACTCACCTAGGCAAAGTTTCAGGAAACGTCTCGAAACCCCCCATCCATCCTCTTTACCTCACTCCAGCAAGACTTACTGCAGCAGAGCCACCATCTCTGCTGCTGCTGTACCCTATTACCATCCTACCAGCTAGCCCCCTCACTAGTAGGACGCTTGATCTCCAACCTTCTTCTCCCACTCACCTAGGCAAAGTTTCAGGAAACGTCTCGAAACCCCCCATCCATCCTCTTTACCTCACTCCAGCAAGACTTACTGCAGCAGAGCCACCATCTCTGCTGCTGCTATACCCTATTTCAATCCTACCAGCTAGCCCCTTCACTGGTAGGACGCTTGATATCCCGCCATCTACTTCCAACACCAACTAGCGTCATGCTGACCGCAGATTTATGAGTATAACAGCATCTTGAGACCACCAGAAGCAACTGAAAGACAATTTTGAAGGTTTGGGGTACCGGGGCCATTACCCGGCTTTGGCGAAGAAAAATTAGAGCCAGATTAAGAATTACTATGGCAAAATTCAGAAAATAGGCAAGACTTCAGGAAACGCCTCAGAAAACCATCCACCGGCAAGACTTACTGCAGCAGAGCCACCATCTCCGCTGCTACTGTACCCTATTTCCATCCTACCAGCAAGCCCCTCACTAGTAGGACGCTTGTTATCCCACCATCTACTTCTCCCACTCACGTAAGCAAAAGTTCAGAGAATGTCCCAGAACCCCCCATCCATCCTCGTACCTCACTCCGGCAAGACTTACTGCAGCAGAGCCACCATCTCCGCTGCTGCTGTACCCTATTTCCATCCTACCAGCTAGCCACCTCACTAGTAGGACACTTGATATCCCACCCTCTACTTCCAACACCAGCCAACCGTGACGTTCTGTCATCGAACCGCCACAGATCTATGAATATAACTACATCAGAGAAGCCTACAGTGAGTGGCAAGAAGCCCCCAGAATCCTGAAGCGATCTCACGACCATCAGAAAACAAATCAAACTTACTCATGAAAAATGAGAACCCATTGGGATTTTTTGGAAGCTGATATAAACGAAAACCTGCTGCCCCAATGCTATCAACCGACTATCCTACGGCTGCCTCGACCCACATATTCAAGATACCAGGCTCTTCTAGGCCTCACACCCCCAACCACTGGGTTACAGGGCAGCACCCACCCCAGCTCCGACCCGCGTCGTCCTAATACCAGCTCGCAGTTAGCCATTGGACTGCCTTCCACTCTCGGCAGTTCCCCAGTTTTCTCTACCAGGCCTCTAACCCCCGCATACTCAGGTTACAGGGCAGCGTAACCAAACCCCAGCTCCGGCCAGCGTCATTCTAGCATCGGCCAACCCTAACCTTATGGACATGATGGTGATAACCCAGTGTCAGATAATCTGCTGAACACCGCGTGGCAACTAAGGCTTCGAAATGCCCGGCTTCCTCCATGCACCAGTCGTGTTGAACACCCCCAAACCACCTGAACACTCCCTCTGACCCCCCTCCAGCAAGACTTATCACAGCGGAGCCACCATCTCCGTTGCTGCTATGCCCTATTTCAGTCCTACCGACTGACCCCCTCGCTAGCAGGACGCGTCACCTCCCCCCCACTACTAACCCCTCTCAAACAGGAGTGTATCACAACGACCAATGCAAGAACAAAACACTAGAATATCGTTCTCAGGCTAGTCAAAACATCAGGAAAAACAAGATTCAACAAATTCACGAGACCATTGAAATTCTAAAAAGTTAGAGATCACTATTCAAGATCAGAGACGAGGCTCTGATTTACGATCGTCAATATAAAAGGAACAAATCGAGAATTATTCAGAAATTTTGGAGATCATTCATGATCCCACTGTCTTCAATCAGGTTTGTGGATTATTCGTCATGAGTTCATTGAGAATCTAAAAAATTAGAAAACATTATTCGAGATCAAAGGCGAAATTCTGATTTACGATCACCAACATGATAGGATCAAATCGGGAATTATTCGGAAAATTTTGAATTCATTCATGAGTCTGCAGTTCTTGAATCAAATTAGAATCGAAAAACCTAAAGCTACCTGTCATGAGAAAATCAAATAGAAAAATCCAAAAGATTAAATTCGAAAACCAGAGATTAGAATAAGAAAATCAGATTTACAATCATCTGAAAATCGAAATCAGGTTACTATCTTGAAGCTACTTCCCAAGAAACGAGATCAGAATGAAAAAAACGGAGGTCACTCAAGCCACGAAGAGCAAAACTATGGATCAAAGCATATAAACTAACCTCTCATCATGATGTGTCTGTCTCCCCCAAACCTTCACCCCCTCCGTTATCGGCCCGAAGGCAACTCAGCCATCACATGGCCACTCTCTCGGCCATCAAAAAAAGACTGAACAATAAGGACTAACGGACCGTGGCTTCACTTTACCCCTCACTTGCCACGTAGCAAGACAAAACCACTGAACCTGCCAATGACCCCTCACTGGTAGTCCGGGGGGGAATAGACCTTCCATGCCCTTGGTTGCCCTTCAGCACCTAACTCTTTCATTGGACACGTGACACCCCGCCATTCGTAGCTCTGATGATGATGCTGGCAGCCCATACCCTTCGCAGCCCTTCACAAGCAGCCTCTTCGTAGTAGCCTCATCCTCTACGCACGATGCATCACGCTTATCGCCATCCTTCCCATCATCATCCCTTCACCCAAAACCTCGCAACCACCACCTCACACCACCCCGAATCCACTCTCCCCAGCACCGCACTGCACCGCCGCTTGTTGCTGTCCAGCGCCGCTTGATTCGACTTCGCGCTGCTCCGCCGCATGTCACCGCTCGGTGCCGCTCGGCCTGACTGCGCGGGCGGGGCGCAGCGCTCCCGGCCGCGCTGCGCCCCTCCCGCGGCGAATATATGGCCGGGGTACTGGGGGGTTAAGGAGAGATGGACCACAAGTAGCCCAATATACACTTTGGGCTTTGGAAAGTTGGGGATAGGGGTTATAGTCCTTAGCCTTTTTTACTGCAGTTGTACACTGGAGTTAGCAGCATTAGTAGGGCTTAGGGTTTTTAAGGAGAGATGGAAGACAAGTAGCCCGATATACACTTTGGGCTTTGGAAAGTAGGGGCTAGGGGTCATACTCCTTAGGCTTTTATTACTGCAGTTGACCCTACGTTGTTGGCAGCAACTGAATGGGACTCTGGACCCGGTTTTCAGCCAAGCGGAAATTGGGTAATAGCCCCAGTGCCCCAGGTTGAGATGTGGAGGGATGCCGGGCCTCCGAACATTTATGTGGTAATAAAACAACAAAGACGGGGAGGGCAGCAAATGAGAATCAGGAAATGCAAGCATTTGCCTTACCAACTGGGGCCGCCCGGGTCACCTTGGTTGCCCGGGGGACCGGCAGGGCAAGGGCCAGGGAAGGTCCCCGGAAAAAAATAAAATCCAGAAAGTCCGGAAAAAAAAAAACAAACTGAACAACGTCCGCCTCAGGGGCACATCGGAATTCTTTGGTAAAACATATAGATTGATTTTTTTTTTTGTGAATGGCCGGAGCTCAGTGGGTGGAGCACCGGTTGGAAATGCACATTGTGGTATAAGGTTGCGGGTTCAAAACTCCACAGCCTTGCGCATGGACACCAGTGAGCGTTGACCAACGCACGGCCATTCACATACTCCCTTTGAGCCGAGACATGGTAGTTATTATAGACACTGCCTGCGCACCACCCAAGGGGTTCAGTCCATGGTTGCAGTATGCTGGTAGTGGGCCTTGGGGGAGGGCTGTTTGAGTGGTTGGCCTTGGGGTGGTCCGATGAGAGTGTGCGTGTGAGTGTGTGTGTGTGTGTGTGTGTGTGTGTGTGTGTGTGTGTGTGTGTGTGTGTGTGTGGTCCAATGATCTCTGGGTCATGTCTTGTGTACTCACTAGGGGTGGGATAGAGGAGTTAGGTTGGGTAGGGGTCTTAGGTCTAGATTAGGTTAGGTAGGATTTTGTGTTGAGATTGTGGGCCGTCTGTGTGCGTCGCCTCGTTCGTGTGCACTGCTCTGTGGGTGTGTCATGGGTGTGTCTGGGTACCGTAGTAGTTTCCCGGCCTCATGGTACACCCGCGAGAGTCCATACTTACATTGTACAATCCTGGTCCTGGTGTGGCAACGATCTCTACACCCCCCTTGAGTAGTGGTAAGTGTTGGGTGTTAGGCATATACGATTCCCAAGGGCGGGCCTCATGTCTACCTTACGATGCTTGCGGGCTGGGCTTCATCCGGGATGGTACCTGTCTGCGTGCCCATTGAGGGGGTCGATTGGGGCGTAACTCTGGGGAAGGTTCTCTGGGTACGGGTCTTATCTTAGGCAGGGGAAGGTGGGTCGTCGCATTGATAGTAGAAGGGTGGTAGACACCCATAGAGTCTGGTAGATGTGATACAGGTGGTGAATGCCCACATATCTGTGACCCCTCCTGTGCCCGGGTCGTCCTCGATAATTCGGGGTGTCCCTATGGTAGCGCCCGGGGGGAGGCTCGTCTGAGACCCTTGGAAGGCACGGGTTGGTGTAGGTCTAGGTCTAAAGACAGGTCGGGGTCACACCGCTGTAGGGATCAACTTGCAATCTGATTAGGACAACAAAAAGTTCATGAATGATGCCCCCTGGAGGAGACTGTCCTTGGGGCTGTCACAAGCCATCTGATCTCCCCACTGGTCAAGTACAACGACAGGCACCTCCCGAGGCCTAGCATCCAGCCTCTACTACAATCTGGACTTTATAAAAGAGAAAAACAATCCTATATATACTTTTTAATTTTATTTTTTTTCCAATCTTGCTCCGGCTGATCCCAGGCCACTCTGGTAACGTAGTCGCTGACTTCATTTCAATTATTAAATAATTTAAAACTGTTCTTTTATCTTGCAACAACTTGCATTGCTGATGTTGCAGACTTGGCTCAAGTAATGTCCTGGATTTGGACATGATGGACCTTGACCTGGGTTCGAAGCCATGCTTGAAACTCGACGACAAACTCAAAACCTTGTTTGATGATTTCGGCGACATTTCTGCAAACTTCAAGATCAATGGAGGCAAGCAAGACACCAAGGGGGCCATGTTCTCTCTCGACCTAGACGATGCATTGGGACCGGATTTGCCGAAATTGGGACAGTCGAAGACGTCGGCAGGTGGACGGCTTCCGGTCGGCAAACTCCCAGGAACAACCGCCTCAATGGATATGGAGTCTTTCGACATGCCCGGTGACTTGGAGGTGGTTAAGAAGGGTGCCAGCGCGGCGAAACTCAACAAGAGCTTAGCGGAAGGAGACGACTGCTCGTTCGATCAATTCGATTTCAAGTCTTCGAAACACAAAGGGGACATGATGCAACTGGACATTTCTCCCACGCCGAACATCAAACTCCGGGCAAACTTAGGGTACGAAAAAAGGCCTCTGCTTCCAGACCTTTTCTGCAACTATGCCTACGAACTCCTGTTCCTCCGTTCCCCCCCCCACCCCCACCCACCCACCCACCCACCCACCCATAATCTGTCTCTTTTGTGTCTCTTCCTTTCGCACGGACTTTTTGATAATTGACGATTGCATTCTTTGACGAAAGAGTTCTTGTCGTCTCTTTTTGATGCATTATCTTTGATGATTGGCTTGCCTTTCGCATTGTGGTGTTATCGCTCTCACTCATCTCCTGTGGACCTGTTCGTATTGTCCTTCCTGCTACTACTATTTTCCAGACTTCTTTGAGTACTCCCGACGTTGGCCCTTGTTGTTTCCGTCTTCCTGTTTTGAACTTCTTTTTATTCTTCTCTCTCTCTCTTCTCTTCCTGAGATAGGGCCTCGCTGCACTACGCTTGAAACTTGATAAAGTTCCAAGCGTCCTCCCCCCCCCCCCCCTTCCAAAAAAAAAAAAAAGAGAGTTCAAGAGTTGTCAGACTCTTGAAATGCCGGAAAGCGCTGACCGTCGTTGCTGCACTTACTGTAGGCGGCACCCACGATTGAACGCCCGATAGCACTACAGGACAGTGCTAATCTGGTTGGTTGTCCTTCCCCCCCCAAAGAAAAAAGAAGAGAAAACTACGGCGCAGTCAGGGTTTGAGTTTGAAAAAAATGCACTTGAGGCATAAGGGCCGATAATGGCGAATTTACATAACCTAGGTTTTGGGTCCGGTGGGGCCACGTGGGGGGGTGTTGTGTTCGCGGGATTGTCTGAAGTGCATTTTCAGACTGTTTTGGTGACTGCGCCGAAGTTACTCCCCCCCCAAAAAAAATCTGGTTTGTGGGCTGAGACTACAGACCGACTCTCGAAAAAGCAGAGCTCATGAAGGGTCCCAGCAACCACCCTTGAAAAAGAACGCCCTTGCAGGCACAGGGACTCCAGAAGCTTTCAAGAGTTCGTTTCAAGGAGCGTTCTGACACCTCTTGAAAATATAATTTTCAAGAGCACGTTTCTAGCATAGTTAGTGCGGCAGTGACTCACTCCTAGAAGTTTTCGAGAGTGAGTCTGACAGCTCTAGAATACTAGGTTTGGGGCATCCTGCGCGTGGCAAGAGTTCATGCAGCGCGATGCCGCACTCTTGAAACTTCCAAGAATCAAGGGTAGTGCAGCGAGGACCATAGATAGCACAGGACAGGAAAGGAGAAGAAGAAGAGGGGGGAGGTCACATTAGCAAAGAGGATTGTTGGATTCAGCTCCTGAATTGGGACGTGTTTTAAGATGAGATGCAGAAAATGTAGAAAAGCAATTCAATCTCGAATATTGACACCTGTGCATGAACACGTCTGGATTCAGGTGTCCAGTCCAATCGTCTTGGCTAGTAGTGGGACCTCTCCGCAGGGGGGGGAGGAAATAGAGAAGAGTTTCAGTGTCCTGCAAGGTCTCGGCTATTTTTCGCCGTTTGTTGGGCAAGGTATGCTCTTTTTGACGATATATACTACCCTCTTCACCCGAATAGAATGTCCTGGTCTCACCATTGCTTTTGTGTCTGGACTGAAAGTTGCTTTGAATACAGCTATAATGATGGGACGTTCTATTCGGGTGAAGACGGCAAGGGCCTGTAATAGTAGGTAGGCATAGTTCCATGGGCCGCGCCAATTGGGCCTGCGCCTCAGATTGTGTGGGTAAGAGGCTGAGACAGTTCCCAGAGTCTTCTGTGAAGCATTCTGCCGCTCACTCGTAATTAGCTTCCAATGTCATGCACTAAATTTTCTGTCCCCTCGTTAAATTTTCTGTCACTGAGGGGATGGAAAGAAATCCAGTCGCAGCGTCCCACCAATAGAATGGAGAACGGAGCTTAGACCGCCAGCACACGGCCCCAGCGTTTTGGCTGGCGGCGCCAGCCAAAAAGAAAAAGAAACGACTGCTGCGCCCGTTCGTTTTTTAATGAACTTTGCGGCGTACAGTGCAAATCCGCCACGGGAAAGAGAGGCTCGGCAGTACTCGTGGTTTAAAAAAAAAAAAAAACAGCCACACTACCTACCTTTCTTTTCGGCGCAGTCAATACTTCTCCTTGGAAAAGTAAGCAATGCTTTGCTGTCACTCATTGGAAAAAAAAAAAAAAAAAAAAAAAAGCTTTTGCCCACCAGTCGGACTATATGGTACTACCTCCCCCCCCCACCACCACCACACACACACAGAACATACGGTAATTATAGCTGTATATTTTGAGGCAACTTGCAGTGTACATACAGGTGTAATGACCGTATGTTCTTTTTGGGTGACGACATTATGTTTCGATATCAGATGTGTGAGCGCAAAAGAGAACCCGACTGATCAACTTGAATGCTGTCAACCATCAGTCAGATTATGTACTACTACCGTCTTCACCCGAACAAAACGTTTTTCCCGGTCATTGTATCTGTATCTTCTAGCCTGCAAGTTGCCCCACGTACAGCTATAACAACCGGGTGTTCTATTCGGGTGAAGGCGGTGTTTCGGTGTCGTACTTGCTGGTGGCAAAGGTTAAAGGGATCCAGACTTGAGGATGGTTCCAGAATTATAGACTGGAGCGTTGGCCATAAGGTCGTGGTACTCTTTAAACCACCAGTCCAGGAGTCCGTCCTGGGGACCCCTTGTAGCATTTGATCACGAGTGAATTTGACTAGGTGCAAGCAAGCCCAAATATCCACGAAAGGCGACGGTGGGTGAACTGGCGCACCTTGCTCACGGATTGGTGCTTTGACAAGCAAAAAGAAAAAAAACAAGGGGGAAAAAGATAGAGTCACACTGCTGTTACTGAGGGGAATGAAACAAATTGAGTCAGAGATGATCTCAGTGGGGATGCAGTGCTCCTGCCGAAAGCTTTGTCTGAATAGGAGAATGGAGCGGCTGCCTCTTGCAGCACTGCATCACAGGGGTAAAAATGTATAAAATTTTCAGCTGGCACCTGGCTGCAGTGGTTAAGAGACTTGGCTCTTGAGGCCGAGCTCGCCGGTTCGAATCCGTGCTTGCATGGAGGAGGGGCTTAGGGTCAGATGTACGGGTCTATAACAACTGTGGAGGCTCCCATGAACCCGCGGGCAAGTTAAGACCCATGCGTGTGACCGGGCCAGGTAGTATGGGGGTCACGTCCTGATTGGAGTGAGAGGTGCGCAAGAATTGCTGTGTCTGTGTGGTGCGTCCGTGTGGTGTTGTGTGGTGTGTGTGTCAAACTGGACAGTACAGCCTTCGGTATGGTTCCACTTTTGAACACTGTGTTCCGACTGTTAGTGGTTAAGAGGCTCGGCCTGCTCTTGAGGCCGAGGTCGCCGGTTTGAATCCGTGCTTTTGCCCAGAGGAGGGCTTTAGACCCAGATGTAGCACTGAGGAGGGCCTAAGACTCAGACGTATGGATCTATAAGTACTATAACTACAAGCTTGCTGATGAAAGTTGCGTGCTATGTGTTTTTTTGGGTGAGCAAGGAGAAAGTCCCAGATGTAGCACGGAGGAGGGCCTAAGACCCAGATGTAGCACAGAGGAGGGCCTAAGACCCAGATGTAGCACGGAGGAGGGCCTAAGACCCAATCCAACCGACCGGAAACAAATTGTCAAGATGTGAAGTCATCCCTTCTCAAAGAGGAGGCATTCTGGCAGAGCTGCTGATGTTGCAACCGAGACTATGCATTCTGGCTGTGCGGATGCCCAGGTGCATTCTGGATGTGCAAATGCATGCATGCATGCATGGATAAGGAAGTCGCAATTCGTCAAACGCAAGAAGTTCACTCATTCATGAGAAAACTCAAGAGATTTTAACATGATTAACAATCATTGTAACAACAACTCCTTCCACCATCAAACCTTTCACGCAAGAACCTCCGTCAATTCCGTCTGACCCGCTTACGGCCGCTATTACTGCTGTCGCAGTCGTTGCGAGTCGTAAACTATAAAAAAAAAAAAAAAAAAAAAAGAGGTACAAATGGCCAGGTGGATTTGGGATGCGCAGATGCCCACGTGCGTTCTGGCAGGGATTTAGTTGATGTCACTTGGTGGAGATGGTAAGCGTGATGTGTTTTTTAAACTTTTTTTTCTGAATGCTCAGTGGACCTACCTACATACTGAAAGGTCTTTGAGAGCCGCAGCAGTTTATTATGTTCTAAAAAAATCCTTTTTTTTTTTTTTTCTTTGTTTGTAAATTCATGGGCTTATCAGTCAATCCTCCTCTGACATGGAGCAATCGATGCCGGTCAGGGATGGATCCTTCGGCCAAAAGGAAGGATGCGTGAGTGTGAAAATGATGCATCCTACTATATTGACTTGCCGGGGAAATAGGAAACCCGACTAACGCTCGCCAGAATGGATATGGAGTCAGGGCCATAAGGACCCGTTATTTGGGGAAAAAAATAAAATAAAAAAAATTCATGGCCTTATGGTCATAGAGCCTTGCTATTCTGGAGAGTGTCAGTGTGATGAAGGGTGACACAGACAAGTGCATGCGTACAGGCCGATAATGGCTGAGAGAGATGAAATGGTTAAGAAGATGAACATCCATGAGAAAGCTGTGGCGAACGGAAAGCACGAAAAAACGAGAACGATAAGAAAGAAACACAGAAATCCATGGACACGAGGACGCGTAGAATTGGTGTGGTGGCTTTCTATTCCTTTTCTTTTTGTGTTCCTTTTTTTTTAATTTTAAACTAACCTATATTCTTCTCTCAATATATCTCCCATTACCTACCTACCTACACATAGTCACTAACCGCCGAAGCAACCACAGGGTTATATGGGTCTAAGGCTACCACCTCTCTGCTCTGTGCGGGGAGCAGCACCCTGTCTCCTAACACCTGGCGCAGACTAGAGAGACCAATCGCCACTTCCCCAACCAGCCAGGAGGCCCCCAACCAGCCAGGAGGCCCAAGCCTAATATCTCCGCTGGTGAAGCAGATGCATATCACAGGAGGGCGTGGGGGATTGAATGGACGGCGTGGGGAATCGAACCCACGGCCTCCTGAATACCACTTACATGCTACAACCAACTGATCTAGCCCGCTTTAAGTTCCTTTCCATTCTTGGGAGTGTCAGTATGGTCATGTTTGTAAATTCATGGCGGCCTTAAAACACCAGCACATCAGAAAAAGCAGATTCTTTTCAAAAAAAAAAAAAAAAAAAAAAGAGAAGCAGATTGAGCCTCTCCTAAAGATCCGGAGGCCATGGACCGTTGATAAAATGAATCGGCGGTTCATTCATGGCCTCCTATTTTTTAAGGATAGGCTCAATCTGGTTTTTCAGATGGGCTGGTGGTTGAACGTCGTGTATCTGTCCAATTTATGTCGCATTTTTGCGTATCTGTTTTCCCGATTGAGGAAGATAACTTTGCTTGTTCTCATTCGTGTGAACATCAGTTTGCCTGAACTTACCTCATGTTGCGTCTTCCTCTTCGTCCCCTTTTAATGTTCTGCATGATTTAGAATGCCAGATGTGACTTTTTTTTTTTTTTGGTTAAAAAATTTGGACCGTTTCTCGATTTATGCGTGTCATCCTTGCGCAGGGGCCTCGTCCCACTACGTCCTATTTACGCTTGTGCTCCGCCGTTTTCGACCACGTGCGGCCATCTGTGACATGCGTGAGTCGTTTGATCATTTCGTGTATCCACTGCTAGCATGGATTGTCTTTGACTCTTTGTTTTCGTGGATGCAGCTTCCTGTCGGGCAGTATAATTTTTTTTTCAATCATTTGTTGGCCATTTAGTTGGCCACTTTGCGTTGGCGCGAAGCTTCAATACTAAGTTTTTTTTTTGGGGGGGGTGTTTTTGAAGCTCCGCGCCTTGCTATTTTTTTTCGCAGAAATTGAGAATATTGAGATTTCCGTGGAAGACTGCGAACAGGCCGGCGGGAAGGTCCAATCTTTTTTGACCCATCTGGTTTTGCCGGGCTACCCCCTCTCTGCCCAACTTGCCCGGGCATGCTGGATCAGGCGACGGCCCAACTCTTTTTTTTTTTTCTTTTTTTTTTGGTTTTGAAATGTTTTGCAAATTTGTTGTGCAGGAATGATGGCGATGACGACATATTCAACTTCGAAGATTGCAACATGGACCGTTTTGATGATTTTGATCTGAAGTTTGGTATGACTGCTGACTTGTCGCAGGGAGCAAGAGCGAATACAAAGGTCTCTCCTGCTTCCTCTGAGAGGAACACAGGAGTGAGCAATAACCTCGATGAGGATGTTATTAATTTGACATTTGGAGAGAGATCCAAGTCTGTGTCTCCATCTCCTGTGCAGGGTGAGAGTGGGGTTTGTTCCAAAGACGAGCACCACAACCTGAGGGGAAAGGAGAGTACCAGCTCCAATCATGACCAGGCGTGCTCCAATCAGCAAGGCATGCAGAAACCACCTTTGTCCTCTTCAGCTGCCTTTCACGAAGAGAGGTGTCCTTCGCCTGAGAACAAGGTGGGGGGTGAAAATGATGAGACGCCTGGCATAGAAGAGGCCATTGACTGCGGAAATGACACAGATCGATTCCGTAGTGAGAGTCAGTGCGACGGTAGGACTGATCCCGGACGTTCAAGTGACAATCTGTCTCATCGAACGGTAGCGAGCGCTTCTCGCGACAGGGACGGTCAGGATGACACCTTGCCACTGGCGATGCAAAGGCCGACTCGGAGCGGGGCAACAATCGAAGAAGCAGAATCTAGTCTAAGAGCAATACTGCCAAACACGGGGAACGCCAGGCAATCAACGGCCACGGAGGTTGGAGCTCCTTCAGATTTGCAATCCGGACCGTCAGATAGACGATTGCCTGTATCAGCTGAAGCAAAGGACCTTGGAAGGTCTTCAAGAACTTCTAGTTTGGAGGGGCAACAATCCGAAGGAGGAGCCGCTGATGGGAAGAACCTGCTGTGTATGCCATCTGCGAACAGAAATCCCGTTGCGAATGCGGGCAATTCTGATTACGGTAGTGCGCAACATCGGAGTCGAGAGGATGAAGCATCGGCCGGTGGGGAGGAAAGAGACCGCAACTGCGAGGAACTCGAGGAGCATCTGGATGGTGATGGTTCTTTAGTGCAAGAACGCGTGGGGCGGGGCTTGTCTGGCGAACAGGGATCACCAAGTTGCAACAAGGATGCAGGAGGACCGGTTGTCGAGGATGCGCATGGCAAGAATGTCGCAGATGGTAGTGCCGCTGCCGCTGGGGACTCCTGTCCGGCCGGTGGTGCCTTAGGATATTCCATGGGTGTGCAGAACAACCTGGGGTTGCATGGAGAAGTACCACGGGATGAGTCGTATCCACACGCCCAGAGGTTGGCAGCTACGGATAAGCTCACATCTGTGTATTGGAAACATCCAGTCGATCATGATAATCGTGCGACTGTGGCTCGAACAGAGGTTGGCGTGTTACGAGCACCGGGCGAGTCCAAGCTTCCTGGAAAGATCTCCGTGGCTGAAAACACCACGCTGTTGAAAACCATCCCTTCCTTGCGGTATGGAGGTTCAGCAGGACTTTCTTCGATGCAATCCAAGTCAGCAAATTGCAATAAGACTACTACATCCGGTGGAATAATGCCTACGCAACGAACCTTTCCGAAGGTGTCTAGTCCTGTTTCGAAAAAGATGCCGCCGCAAATGCCATTACGCGCATCATTGGTTCAACGGGCAGGAGTACCGCAGAGTCAAGGAGTGGGTGAAGGTAGTAGGCCTCCAAAGGTCATGCCTGTCGTCAAGTTGGCAGGCCAGACACCTGCGGAAAGTGGTTTACACAGAAAGCCACAGACGTCAGGGGTGTCGGCATCAGGAGGAAGTCATGCTTTCACTGTTCCGCAGTCCAACCCGGAAACTGCATCGCGCCAAAAGTCACAGCCTGCACAAGATGGATGCTCCCGTGGGAGTAGCTGCATGATGGCGACAGGCAGGACGAAAAGGCTGGAGGTTTTGTCATCCCAGCTTGCCGGTGGTCTGGGGAACCCAACTCAACAGGGTTCAGGCATGCAGGATCATAATCGCTCGCGAACTGTGTCATCGTCGTCGGCTATCCAAATACCGCATCCCACAGGATCTGCGCAGCGACTTGTTCAGCCCGGGCGATTGAACTCGGTCAATCCAAAACCGAAGGAGCACTCCGCTCCAGAGAGGAAGGATGAGAGTCCCGCTCCAGATGGTTCCCGAATAGCCTGTCCTTCTCATGCAGTGAAAGCTACTCAGATGCATGCTCCGAGTCAGGGAGTGAGAGCAGAACACAGTAGCAAGCCTCCTGCTATTGTGTCATCCCTCTTGTCGTCCAAGGGTTCCGAACGGGCTCCGACATCAACCCTTACCCATCAAAAATCTCTTCTGAGAAAGCCTTCCCCAGCAATTCCCATTCCTACAAGTTCCAGTGGACTTAGACGCCCGGCAGATGCCGCAGACGGCGTCTCAATCAAGCCATCAACATCTCAGCGACTTCTCGGACAAAATATGCAAGGAATGACCAGAGGGATTGCACCGCCACAGGCACGGTCTCCACAGCTTGCTGGGCGGAGGTTAACTAGCACGGATGGCAGTACGCTCTTGACCAAAGGTACTGGCTCCTTGATGAGACAGTCCAGCGCTTTGCCAGGCCAGGCACAGGGCCTGAAGTTGGTCGGGAATGCTTCCGGGTTGCCTAAAGGCCAAGAGCTCAAGATAGACACAACTTGTCCCACGAATTTGCATACTTCATCACAACAACTGTCTCGAAAGGGTAACTCTACTTTAGCTTCTCCCCGCACAACCAACGTGATTGGAGCAAAGGATCGGGCAGGCAATTCTGGCTCAGTCGCCGCTGCCATCCCATCTTCCCATCAAGACGGCAATCCTGGGATCGAAACCTTGTCTCCATCCATGGTAGGACAACGCAAAGGAGCGCATCATGGTGGGCGGCCCGCTATGGAAACTGCATCCTTGGGTGCACTGAAAGGACAACGATCAACTGAGGTTCGCTCTCCAGCTGCCGCATCGGTAGCAAACACGGCAGGAACGCTCATGACAGCAAGTTATGAACCAAAGGAGCCGACCACCGTGCGGCCGATATCTCGTCCTGCATGTGACAACACGGTGGCAGGACGGACAGCCGTGAATCACGACATCCTAATAGCAGAGGCTACTGTAATGAAAACAGTCTCCCTGGGGGCAGCGCAGGCACCTGTGTGTGCATCTCCCAGAAGCCGCTTGCAGCAGCCGACGACAGGACTGCCGGATGCCCTTGATTCCTTTGGTGAAGCATGTCCTTCGAAGAAGGCAAAACAGACTCCCGGCACTTTGAATTCGTTATCCGTCATGCCGGCTGACCATTATGGTGGCAGCAAGGAAGGCCCCAGCCGATTAAGGCCAACAGAGGGACCAAGCGAAGCGGGTCAAGCCAAGATGAGAAGGACAGAGGAAGATCCTAGGCAACCTGGAGCTGTACCAAGCGCCCCAGAGGACGGCAATGGACATGTCCGCCGCGCACCTCCCTCGCTCTCACCACAACCGTTCGCTGAACCCAGCACTTTTCGAGATAAACTGCATGACATGACAGACACGCTACCTACTTCTCTCTCATGGGCAGGTGCTCGTACTCTCGGAGAACGGTCACACTCTCTTCCTGGAACCTCCTCGTCAGCTGCTCAATCATCCATGAGCCCTTGTACTCCTTCCGCTCGACAAAAAAGTGTCATTTCGGATGAATGCATGGATAACGCTAGACGGAGCCAGGCCTGCGCCAAGGATCTTGAACACATTTACAAATCGATGAAGAGGAAGCACAACGAAGTCAAGGACCTCGTTGTGCGTGCTCTAGTAAACAATGCCACCTTGCAGATGCTCGACAAGCCGATGGACGAAGCGAAGATTCAGAACGTTTTCAGGTTCATCCAGCACGCAGCTCTTGGCGAGGATAGAGACGGTGGTACGGTCTGCCTCGAGTCAGAGGAGTGAGAATAGCCAATAGCCTCTCTGCCAGGTGGAAGATGCTTTCTTGAAAGATTATTATCACCTATCGTCATTCTGATGGACAAATCGAAAAAGGAAAGGACGTACGACCCATTTGGGACAGTTCTCCGCTCGGTGTATAGCCGAAGACTCCAGGTCCTGGTAAGAAAACTGAGGCTCATGCTTCTGGCTGTCTTGAAGATGCGCTCTTCTTCTTCATCTCGGAAGAGCGCGATAAGCTGTTCATGGAGTTGAAAGGCACTGTTTACGTCGATGTGCGCGAGCCACCATGCATGTTCTGATGGACAAGCAGATGGAAGCGGTACTAGGACAAGCAGATGGGACCGGTACTGGGACAACCGGATGGAAGCGGTATTGGGACAAGCAGATGGCACCGGTACTGGGACAATCAGATGGAAACGGTACGGGGACAAGCAGATGGAACCAGTACTGAGCTCTGTCAAAGCCTGAGCAACACGCCACTCTCTGTGATGCCCGTAACTTAACGAGGAAGAATTGTACACAATGCAAGGACGGGAACAGAGTTTGGAGGCATAGTACACGAAGTCGATTGCGTAAGACGGGTAGGATAGTCGTAAGGTTGGCAAGGCTTTTTTTTTTTTTTAAGGTGGCATCACTGGCAAGGCTATTGTGTGTGATCAAGATTCTGATGAACAGTTTTATTAATTTTATTCAGAAGCTGATGATAGTCGCATGAGGAACTTATAGTCAGTAGCAAGGAACTGCATGGGAGCAGAGGGGAGAGGGGGAGAGGGGGAGAGAGGGAGAGCAAAGGGAGGGACGAAACGAGACCAGGATGGAGTAGACAGGTTTCCGGTGCTGCAATCGACATGCCAGATTTGCAGAGCGTATAAAACTAAAGCACGCTCTTCAAGTTATATACCCTCTGACTTTGTTGTGGAACAAGAGAACCAACTTGCTCTCGGACCTATATAACAACGCCCTGCCAAGTTATGTAACCCGCTGACTTTGGGCGACGGAGGCGGAGGGTCTGCTTGGAGTTGTTCTGAGGGTCTGCTTGGAGTTGTTCTGGAACAAGAGAACCAACTTGAAGAGCGAGGGCTGGAAACCAATTATACGAGCTTGGAAATCGGTTGTCCCCTCTCTTGTTTCTGTTCTTTGAGATTATGGTACATCCTCTGTTGGGAAACCCGGCGATTAAACGCGTAAAAAAGGTTAGGACACCCGTCGATTAACCATTCAAAACAACGGTGCTGGGTAAGACATGAGTACTTACAGTCAGTAGCAAGGGAACCCCATCGAAGCAGGAAGGAGAGCGGGGAGCGGGGAGCGGGCGAGCAACGGGCAGAGGAGACGGGAATCGGATGGAGTAGATAGGTTTTCATTCCAGTGGTGCAGTTGACAGGTCAGACGAGATAGAACGCAGAGCTGAATTGCGGTGGCGACAGCACGCGGTGTATCGTATCGATTGATCAAATGTCCAACTAGGAGGAGCATTTGCTAGATCGAGGGTAGAGGCAATAAGTGTCGCAGAGGATCGATGTCATGGTATAGAAGAGTAAGGAAAAGAGTTGAAAGAGTGTGTGAGAATAACGAGTCAAGTGCGCTTGGAAAGTATTGTTGTGGAGGGACATGTAGTTTGCGTTTGCGTGATCATTGCCGATTGCAACCAAATTAATTTGTTAACAAGTAATAACGACTTAACGATGAAAAGTGTATGCTAGCTCAGTTGGTACACAACCCATGAACTGTTGTTGAAGTACAGAGTCTACAGACCTAAGTTCTAATCCCACAGTGTGAAAGTGTATGCTGATGTTGTGTGTGATGGGACCCCAGTATGTAGATCGATGCAAAAAAAAATCAACTTGTGTACTATCTGGCAGCAGTGGCAGGTATGTATTTGATCTATGGATATTAATTGTTGT